AGCTAATAATGATGAAAGGGAAGGAAAAGGAATCAACCAAACTGCTTGAGCGTAATGAAGAAACTGGTCATAAAAGGCACCCCCAACAAACACTCTATCCAGCTTATATACGGAAAAAAGTGGGAGTGGGTTTTCTAAATATTGCAACAGATGTGATTTAAAACAAAGATCTAAGACATGAGTGATGATTGCATGGATAGATAATTTTTTATACTTTGGTCTTTCGCGAAATTGGAATTCGCGACAAGGAGATGCAGTTTAAATATTTTCAAATTTTCATCTTAACAACGTAAAATAAGTGAGTGAGTAAACAAGTAAGCTGTTAGATGAAATATATTTACTTACTTATCGTGTCGTTCTATATATAGATACAATCAAATACATAATGTGAGGAGAGAAGTATAGAAGCTTTATTGTGCAACCATTCAGAAGGCAATCTGTGAAATGATGTCGTATGAAGTGTTTAATGGGAGGAATGATGTTGACAAGAGCAAGTTCAATGATTTAAAAACGCGACAACATGCTTTTAACACTGTAGAGCCATAGTGGCTCCAATTAAAAAACAATGCGCAACATTAAAGCAATGTTGTCCAAGTTACGTCAGGTAAGTACCAGTAAACAAGACTTTGCTGAATAACGCTGAAGTCGTGACAAATGAGTGTCACCACTCTTTTCAGATTCTAAATACACAATTACTATTGAGAAAAAGTTCATATAAGTATGACGATTTGAGCTGAAAAAATGGCATATGCGCTATTAACATTTTAGTATCAATAAGTTATGATTAAAAGTGTTCCCAACTTGTTTATTATATTTTTCCTCGTTTTTATTTGTTCAATTTAATTAAAATTTTTAGAACTGGAAAAATGTGGAGTTCAGATTCAATATAAATTTCACTTTTTTGATTATTTCAGCTGCACAGAATTGATAATATAAATGAGCGCATGGAGGAGATATGAAGAAATATTGAAGTGTACAAAACAAATACAAAATAATTGTGAGAAAAACATTATGGCAACGTTACATTCGCTTCATTCTGAATCCCATCTTTTCCCACCTCCTCATCTTTTCTCTAATAATAAAAGAGTGCTGATAATTGCTTGTAACTGTGTGGAAGTAATCAGTGGAGAGGCATAAAATAAATTAGTGTAGAAAAATGATATCCCTGACGATATCAATTTGGTGGATACATCATCCGAGAATTTCCGGTGATGAAAAAAAGCTCGGTGACAGAAATGTACTATCCAAGAATCTGTCTGATTCTGGATCGTATCCGAACAGAAAATGAATACAATTCATATAGATTCGGATGACAAGGATAAATGTATGCATGGCGATTGGATTTATGTATACGGTAATAGAATGTAGAGATTAAATAATGATAGGAATTATTCATACAGTCGCTTGATTTAACAGGAAGAGGTGCAAACTGCGAGAAGTGGACTGATATTGTCAAGCAAGAATATCGTTAATAGTACTTGCACGAACCTTTGTATGAGTATAATATGATGTCCTCAACAAAGGGACATGACAGAGCCGATTACTGAAATCTTTTCTCGCTTGCCATATCTAGTAGAATTTTGAAATCTATATTCCTGTTAGTATCACAATGCAATCTATTTAAAGTAGTTCTGATCGAGCAGCTTGCATCAGTAGAAAGGTTTTGATCGTTCATCATTTCATTCAAAGGAACTGTTAATAGAAGTTATCCATTGAAATAATTAAAACCTAAAAAGAATTCCGATATTCAAGAATCACTAATGGTGTTGACCTTTAATTAAACATTCCAGTATGCTTTGATTTCTTGTATATCCAAACGTTTTATGATAAATTCTGAAGGGAGAAATAAAACATGGAACAATCATTAAAAGTAAAGAAAGAAAAATCCCTCAAGTTATACATGGTTATTAGAAAAAGTACACATTAATTGATTGATAAAGTTATTAATCAGGAAATCAACTGGTAAAGTCATCAACCAGGAAGTCGACTGATAAATTTGTAAGCTAGGAAAAGGATAATTATCAAGAGAATTAGCATGCAATTAGCATGCAGATCAAAATCTTCTGTTGTAGTTATTTGTTAATTTGCAATGAATAGAAAGTCATGAATACAATTATGCAATTTTTCTACTAGCTTTCATTTCACACTTGAATTTAGCTAAAGAAAATTCTTCTCATGACATTAAATCGGTTCCTGTAATTCCATTTCAACAAATCATAATTTTTTTTAGCCCATTCAATCTTCTACCTAAGAAAAACACTCTAAGCTGTCAGAATCGGGGATCTTAACAACCTTTCATTTATCCTTGTTTTAGTGAGATTCAATTTAAGCAAAAATTATAGGAATTTCAGGACAAGCAACTTTGTCACCAGTGCGTATTGGCATGCGAACAGTAAGAAGAATTCTTTTATGTCCTGAAAATGAAGACTAAAAATATAATAGAAGATAAAAGCATTATGATCACATATATAAATAGTAATGAGCAACGAATTTAGGAACAAAAAATATGAGGCTATTACATATAATACCTAGACTGATCTACCCTTTCCTTCACTTCCTTTGAAGGACATTTCAGAGTTAACAGAAACAAGGGTATCCATGAAGATAAAAGGAGTAGTCAAAAGTTTTCAATTCAAAAGAAACGAATCATATCAGTCTAGACAGAGGCGTATGGTAGTACAGTTAGAAAGACATGCCTAGATTAAGCAAAAACTAGATTTTCGTTCTCAATGTAATCCGATCATTGTCTATCCAATTTGGATATAAAAAGGAAGATGGAAATGATATTCGACACATTGCCGCTCAATTTTCACTTCTGGGGTAGTTTTCTTCCATCAGTTTTATTTAGACATCCAGCTAGGCGAAAGGACACTAATCGAGAGAATACTGTCCGCATAAATCGATGGTGAAAATGCATTTGGTGATAAAATCTGACCGCCCAATGTTTGTGGCGAAATAATATCCGGACTAAGAATGTATGGACTGAGCACTAACGGACTTAATACATATGGATTGATAACATTGGGTGATAAAACATAGGGAGATAAGATGTATGGTGCACCAATAAGTGGTGATAAAACATACGGAGAGAGTATATAAGGTGAGATAATGAAGGGAAGGAAGACGCCCGGTGAAAGGATATATGGGCCAAGAATGGACGGATTCAGAATCAATGGACTGAAAATGCTAGGTGACAGTACCACTGGTCCCAAAATACTGAGACCAAAAACGGGAGAAAACATGAATGGTGCCAAAATCGTTGGTGAAAGCATTGATATTGCTTGACGTTTCTTTCGATACCGTTCCTAAAAAATGAAGTTTATAAATTGAATTTCAGATTATTTATCAACTCCTGGAATAAATGTAGTACAAAGTGAGATGACAAATAATCGGCTTGTTATATTAATTTATGGCCAAGCATTTCTATACCAATTTAGCTTGTCAATGCACCAGCTTGATATATAATTTTATTAACTTAATTTTCCTTTTTTAACCTTAAATTCTATAATTGGGTGACAAAATTTCTTCTACGGTCATTGCATTACCTTTATTTGCACTTTTTATTTATAATTAGTACAATTTTTGACTTGAAACCCTTTGATACATTGCATTCCTTATTTTCCACATTATCTGATTCTTAATTTTTGCTTTATTATACATTTTCAGCATTTTATAGAATAATCTAATTTTATTAATTTGGGTTGGACAGGTGATGTCATGAAGTTTTCCGGACAGTATAGTAATTTTAATCAGCTTTATTAGAGTCGAACTTCATTACTACACTATTGCTTTGTGTAATTGTCGGATTACCGGAATTAAAATTACCACATAAGATGATAAGATTTTGTAACTAAAACTGAGGCGTAAGCGTAATGTAGAATTATACCGATAATAGAAAAACCAGTTCATGTTAAAAGTCAACTCCTAAAGACGTTCTAATTCAACGCATTTTGCGAAGAAGCTCAGGTTTGATAATTAAATTCTTGTGACATTGCTGGAATACTGTAGGGAAATATCTGTGTCTGTTAATCAGCTGATTTATGAAGGTCTTCTGTAAACAAACTCCCATTGTTTCAAAGTTTAGGGTCATCCGGAGTTCATTCATTGATAACGCTCACTCAACTCACTCAAACAACAATGCTCGTCGATTCATTCAACAGTCTAAGCAATTTTTGACGTTAAATGCAAGCTACACCATCTTTTACGCTTATTCTAGCTCGAAGTAAGACGAACCTTTATATCTCAATTATTACAAAAAAAAAAAAAA